ATGTTTTCTATGTTTTTATCATCTTGTGGAATGATTCTGAAAAATTCTGACTGGTCATAAAAGAGGCGGACACGGCCATAGTTTAACTTTGACAAGACAAAGAGAATTTGGCCGCCAAAAGTTTCGTTGAATGTCATTGGCCAGTTCGCACCTCAGAGGTGTGGACTCCAGTTCCTCTAAAGAGGACTGAACCTCCCCCTGTTCTCTCTCTCTTCCTCCCGTGTCCTCGTGTCATGATGTAACGTCTCGCCTCCGGGCGAGCTCTTCGCCTTTCTTTTATTTGTTTCTAGTTTAGTTTGTGTTTTTCAGTTGTAGATAAGTCTCTGTGTTTAATTCCAATCGACGATTGAAAAGAAAACCCCGTGACATATCTCTTCAGCAAATCCATCTACAAGGGACCTTTAAACGAGCGCGCGCTCGCTTTGAAGGAGAAACACGCGCACGTGACCGCGTGACGCGCCGGACCGAGCGAAGCACGCGCTTCTTCGCCAGCCATGCACAGATGGAACATTAACTCCTCGTGATTCCTCCGTTCTACGAAGTGAAACGAACTCAGCCGAACTATTTCCCTTTGGTAATGTTACCCCAAAGACTGTGAACCTCCGTTCAACACGCGCGCCAAGCAGCCCACGTGATGCTTCCTCACACACATAGGAATCCTCTCACGCACGCGGCCAGACAAGGCCGCGCAGGATTGCCGCGATACAGAGAGACCAAGAAACTTGCGCAAGTATATCTCTTTATAGAGCTTCTAAGAAGTTTTAAGATGATGTTTCGTGTTGTTATCAGAGAGGTGAATGTCTTCCTGCCAATGAAATTCTCCCAATTTCTCTGTTCTCTCTCTCCCCATCCCCTTTCCTCTCTCTCTTACTCGCTCACGCGTGTACGTTATCCATTGTCCAAACTTTATGCATTTCTCGTTCATTGATGTCTTATTGTATTGTTCATTGTTGTCTATGTATTTGTAAATACATATATCCCATGTAACCGTAGTAAATACATAAGTAGTCATGCCTTTATTAAATCCATTATATTCATTTTGATTGATGTTACTGTGTCTGCTCATACTCCAGGTCTCTGAAATGAATAGATCAAGCTACGGCTTTATAAATTAAAAATACTTTAAAGAGTATGTGTTTATAGGGCAGAAAACCCAGTTCTTCTGGCCAGAGAATTGCGTTTCCTGAAATCCTATGAAGTAAGATGATATGTGGGATTCCCCCAATATTAATCTGACAATTGAGCTAATTAAATTTTACCTGTCTGTAAAACGTGATCTATGCAATCAACTTGTAGTTAAAATGCAAGGATACACGTATGCATGCAGGTAAAATGATAGATCCTCCCTTAGAGGGAGAGTAAATTCAATGTAAGACTGATCTAATCCAAACATGTATGAATAATTATTAATTACCAATTATTAATTAATTTATGCAAATTCCCCACGGATTAGATCCGCCCTGAATCCTTACACTCATTTATACTCATATACTTGATTAAGCTTTCCATTGAGTTCATCTAGGAAGTCTCGTTTTTAAAGTTTCGTTACAAGCTCACACGTTGGCAATAAAAAAGCAATTAGTACATGAAAATTCTTACATATAGCCCCTTTAATTGCATGACACAGCTGTTCATTTGATATCAATACTGATATTAAGACTGTGACTTATACATTCCTAAATAAAATTGCTTTGCTGTCATCTAAACAAATTACTGTCTAAAAGCCAGTTTGTAAATGTATTCGTCTAACTAGAAAGTGTTGATTTATAAAGCCTGGGAAAAGCCAGACAACTTGGTGGTAAAAATTAACAGTAAATTGTCATGGAAACCCCATGTCAGACACATAAAAATAAAAATCTCCAAAAGCCTTTCAATTATAAATAAAGCAAAACTATATCTTGATGAAAATGCACTCCGTACCTTATACTGCACTTTGGTACTACCATACCTTATGTATTGTGTTGAAGTGTGGGGAAATAATTACCAGAACACAATAAATCCTCTGATCATATTACAGAAAAGAGCTGTGAGGATCATTCATAAGGTTGGTTTTTTAGAACATACTCATAAGCTGTTTACGCAGTCAAAGTTGCTAAAATTTGATGATCTTGTAAAATATAGTACATCAATAGTCCTATATAAAGCATTTAACAACTTATTACCGCCTAACTTACAACGTTTTTTTCAAATTCCAGTGCAAGCTCATAACTTGAGAGGCTTTGGATATTTTTCATTACCAAGAGCCCAAACCACTCGTAAACATTATTGTGTGTCTGTATGCGGAGTGAAACTCTGGAACAAACTGGACTTGCAACAAAAGCAATGTCAAACTATTCATCAATTTAAACTGTTATATAAACATTGGGTCTGGTTAAAATACAGAGATGAGGATCTTTAATTTACATTGCTGTTGTACTCTGTCTTGATAGTGTTAACATGTGCTCAATGTTTCCTTACCATCGTTGGCATATTGTCCATTACCATCGTTGGCATATTGTCCATTACCATCGTTGGTATATTGTCCATTACCATCGTTGGCATATTGTCCATTACCATTGTTGGTATATTGTCCATTACCATCGTTGGCATATTGTCCATTACCATCGTTGGTATATTGTCCATTACCATTGTTGGTATATTGTCCATTACCATCGTTGGTATATTGTCCATTACCATTGTTGGTATATTGGCTATTACCATTGTTGGCATTGTTTATTCTTCTTAAATTGTTGGTACTGTTGTTATAATAAATACTTGTTACTGTGGTAACGCCACCATGATACAACATATGTAAACAATCCGTGACCAAAGTAACAATGAAGCTCAATGTATTAATCACCAAATGGGGAACTGGGGTGGGATTAAATAAATTGTCTTCTTCCCACTCCCTTTCAGGTAGAATTCGATTGTCAGTTAAATACTGTATGTTCTTTTTTTTTTTTTTTTTTTTTTTTTGCACTGTATGACTTAACAATATTTTGTCTGCCTTGTACTTTCAGTGCCATTGCCTGAAATAAAATGAAAATGAACCTCCGGCAAATTTAGTTTTGTTTTGAAAAGTTAGTCTGGCAAAGAGCTCATTCAAGCCCATTTCCAATCCGTCGAAATCGAGGCACCAATCAGAAACGTTGGGGCGGGCTTTACACGATGACGACAGCGCTGGGATTTTGAAGCAGATTTTGTAGCCTACATTACAAAGATGGATGCCGCCGTCGAACATCACTCGTTCGAATCAGCTATCGCGTCTGTTTTAAGCGATTTGAACGTTTCCTTTTTGTTAAAAACCGAGCAAAGAACAACACTCGGAGATGTTTCTCCGCCGCTCTGCATACGTCATCTTCTTCATCGCCCTGATTGGTTTTAGGTCTATCCGCGACGTCCGTTGGTGACGCCCCTCTGGAAATGATTTGTCTATGACGCTTTGCCAGACCATAACTCAGTTACAACTGAGAATGGTCTGGTTTTAACCAGGCTAGAGTACCACACAATCAACAGAGACTGCGAATGACACTAACTCTGTCTTGCCACAGACATTAACAAACATTTTATTGTTCACTGATACCTAATTACATATGGCTGTAATCTACCTTAGACATACAAAAATATAGAAATACCAAAATAATCCATCATGTTTCTACTGACACATTTCCAATACAAAAAGGGCTTTTCACACAATAGTTAACCCTGGGTCATTCTTAACCCCAGGTAAACTGAATCCTAGAATTAACAATTAATGCGTATTTATGAATCGTTGCTTCACACTGTACATTCTTATATGCTGTGCAAATATTGACTGTATACTATCAAGTGTATACTGAATGGACTTTTAAGACTATAAATGTAAGAATGAAATGGTATCTTTTTCAATTGTCACCATTTGACATTTTTCCCTTCAAACGCTGAAACATAGTCTACTGTTAACACACAGGGTTTCTGTGACTGTACAAAGCAAGTGAATATGAGGCAACAGATGCGATTGGCTGTCTGCGAAGCACCTAGCAGTAACTTTCTAACACCGCTTAGTTTTACATTTGGCTGTGATGTTGCAAATTATTTTTTAGATGTAGCTTTGTATATTTTAAACTATAATAAGAATGTTATTTCACTTGCTTCTGTGTGTAAGAAATGACATCTGATGGCCTAGTTGTCGATACTCTAAGGCTATTTCCATGTGACATTGCACACCAATATGATGGGGTACTTCATTTGTGTGTGTTGCCTAAGTGTTAGGGGTAGGGAGCAACCATGATTAAAAAATGCTTAAAAACATAATGTCCATATAAAAATAAAAGATAGAAACATACAGGTGTCAAACTGAATTTTATTACAGATTATTAGGAAAATTATCGGGTAAAGGCCCGACCAGGGGTGTGTTTCCCGTACAACGACATAACTCGCTGCTTCACTACCATAGTACAATGCATCGTTGAAGAAATCAACTAGCTAGTCACGACTTTTTCCCGAAACTGTACTGGTGCAAATTGGTCGTTCAACCACGTTGGTTAATGATGTCAAGCAAGCGGTGGAGTAAAAAATACTTTTAATTAATCTGTTTGCGATCGAATTGCTGTAAATTATGGACATCTGAGGACTATTTCTAATTTTACTTAGTTATTTTCTTTATTTCCAGATTCAATCATAGGCTCGTTTTTACGTAGGCTACTAGAGCATGTTTGCACATGCACACTCTTCAAAAATGTTGCTTTAAATCTCTTGTCAAACTAAAAGACGTAAATTATATTTGTATGTATCAAAGCAAAGAATGCAAAAAAAAGTGCTGAACCGGGGTATGAATTCCTTATCTGTAGGATGTAAGGGATGGTTCAGCTCAAAAAACAAAGATATTCCAAGGCACTCGAATAATGTTGAAAAAGTTAAAAAGCCTTTATTTCATCATGGCTTTATCATTTAAAAACTGGTGACAAGTACACACCTACGCGTTGCGGCTTACAAGCCTCCGTCTGGGTGTGACGTAGGTGTGTACTTGTGTAGTACAACTTTGCAAAGCTGTTTGCGATTGTTTGTTGGAACTATGGTTTCGGGAAACGCCGACTCGTTGAACTATGGTGATAACGATGGAACCTGCGACCATAGTTGGCTAACGATGCTTTTAGGAAACGCACCCCTGGATGAACAAAGAGCTAGTTATTAGCTATGATGGATTTGATCCAGTCAGTGTAGCGACACACCTCAACATAAACCCCGGGAAAGCCTGGTTTAGCACAGTCTTTACCCCAGGAAACAACACCTTTCTGTTTCCCCTCGCACACTACAGGGCCACCAGAATCACCCTGAGAAGAAAATTGGAAATTAAAAGGACAAAACTGCGTGTTTGTTTAAAAATATAAAACTCATATAAAGAGGAAGACTAAGTCAATGACATACCTGACACGAGTCTTTGCCTCCCTCCATGAATCCGGCGCAGAACATGTTTTTAGTTATTTTTGCACCATATGCTCCCCTACACTGCGCACTTGAGAGTACAGGCAGATTCAAACACTGCAGGACGGAAGCAGTGTGAGCTGGAAAAAGAATAGGAACAGTGCTAAAACTTGTAAAATGACTGATTGCACGTTTAATATCTGACCATAAAGTATAAGAAGATTTTCATTACTCAGCCATCTCACCTCCAGTTTTGCCCCATCCAGAAACCAAGCACTGTTCCCCTGCAGAAGAGCAGTTGGTTGCCAGACGGATCGGCTTCACATACTTGTTGAAGAGGGCAGGCTTTCTCAGCTTGATCAGCATGATATCATGGTTATGAGGCATATCATTATAGTTTGGGTGACGAATCACCTTCTCTGCATTGATCAGCTGCTCTGTGTCTTCAGGAACAGACACGTTGTGCTTTCCCAAGTGGACTTCGAGATAACGAGGTCTATTTGACAAGGAATATTTTGCTCAGCTCTATTATAATATTTATAATATGTGTACACATTCAGAAAGAGGAAGCAGTAACAACCTGTTGCTAATCGATTCCTTAAAAAGGTACTTTATAAAGAAAGAGGAATGTTTCATGGGGAAGTAGGTTAAACATGAAACAAAAACAAAAAATACAACTTAAAAAGGGGATGTTATATACTCACAAGAAGTTGCAGTGAGCTGCAGACACAACCCATCTTTCATCAATCAAAGATCCTCCACACATGGTACGCCCTTCCTTAAGGTACACTTGCCAGGGCTGGGAGTGGGGCGGACATTCATAACCTCCAATGATTTTATGACATGTGCTGCAAACTTGAAAATGAAAAAAAAAATTAATTGTTCTTTTATTAATATTAATGCTAAATCAATCAATCATTCAATCAATCAACTTTTATTCATATAGCTCAATAAAAGCAACAGTAGTTGGCCATTGTGGTACAACAGGATAAATATCTAAAAAAAACAAGAAAGACCGCAAAACAAATGATAAAGGGAGTTTACATTGAAAACACCAATCAGAAAATGCAGCATTAAAATCAAGGACAGTTGTAAGCCTGTGAAAAGAGGTAGGGTTTTAACTTAGATTTAAAAACAGACTTTGTGGATACTAGTCTTAGGGGTAGAGGAAGACTATTCCACAATTTTGGACCAACAATAGAAAAAGCATGGTCACCCTCATCTTAAGTCTAGATCTCGGAACCATCAGCAGTCTTTGTTGAGATGACCTTCATGATCTAGCAGTTATTTAATTTCAAAAGATCAGAGAGATATTTTGGGGCTAATCCGTTCATAGCTTTAAAAACAAAAAGCTGAATTTTAAAATCGATTCTGTAACAAACTGGCAGCCAGTGCAACGAACAAAGTATTGGGGAAATATGATTAAATTTCCAGTCAAAAGTCTGGCTGCTACATTCTGAACCATCTGAAGACGACTAATATTGGACTGACTCATTCCAATATAAAAATAATTACAATAGTCAAGTCTAGATGAAATTAACGAATGGATCACTCTCTCAAACTCTTAGCCTTAGGTAAAAAAAAAAAAAAACTCTTAGCCTTAGGTAATAATCTTAATTGGAAATTTTTAATCCAGTTTAAACCCAGATTGGAATTCTTCAAAAACACAATTTAACTCCACATGACTCTGCAGTTGTTCCAAAACAACTTTCTCTTAATTTTTTTAAATAAAAGATAAATTTGAAATAGGTCTATAATTGGAAAGTATGGTTGGATCAAGATTGTGTTTTTTAAGTAGGGGTCTAACCATGGGCGTAGATTACGCGGGGGACGTGTCCCCCCCACTTTTTATAAAATGTAAATTCGTCCCCCGCACTTTTTCATAGGGCAAGTGTGTATACAACAAGCTGAGGTTTTCGCGGGTGTGTGTAGCCTACATCGAGATTTAAAATCCAAAGAGTCAAGGATAGTCTATCTACATACGTGACTTTCACGTTTCCATGGTAATCATTCACTCGTGCATTAGCCTACGACACGCCCATGCTCGCACCCGCGCCGAATCCATCAGTATCAGTTCAAAACGGCAAAAACTCTTCACTCGTTTTTCACGAAAAAGTCAAGCACTGTAAGTAAGTTGTCATGTGGTATCCGAATTGTGTTGCACAATGATGAATAACTCTGCCTATTTCTCTTGTTGAATTAAGAAGTTTTGTTATAAATTGAAAATATTCACTACCCGCAAAAACGTGCACTAATACTATTTTCAATCTTTTTTTATTCGTAATGTCTTTTATTTTCACAGATATGTTATTAAAGCCCTTCAAATTAGAATAAACATGGTGATTGTTAATGCTGAATTTGTATTTTCATGCAATAACAGCCACGATCTGCTTGAATCAGGCAGCGTTGTAACATTTACATGATGTTTACCATGATTCGGTAACACTTTACATTTAGATAAAAAAGTTATAGACAAACTTTAAGTTCTCTTGAAAAAGCCTAACTAGAAAGTTTTAATTAGTTTTAAAAGCTTGAAGTTTGAAGGTTTTCAATTGGAAAGTTTAGTAAGACAGACATTGTTTAGGCTTTTAAGGAAATTTAATTTAGCCAAAAGAAGAACTTTTATTCTAAGTAACCTAAATGTTATTTTTAAATCAGTCTACTTCAGTGTGATATTTAACCATATTATCATGTTTAACACTGATAATTTTAATAATTGTAATGCGATGATCAAATATAAATCAGAGAATATCATATGTTTGGGCGGTTGACGGGTGGATTATTTATTTTTAACAGTGGATTCGGGGGACTCAAAGTGCACCAGATTAATGAATTTATCTTTAAAAATTACAAAATTTTCAGGGGGGGGGGGGGGGTGCTGCATGCCCCCGGACCCCCCTAGAAGTACCGAGATCCACCTAGATTTATTATCTAATTAAAATACATGGCCGGGATTTTACCACCTCCGCCTTGTTTTCGACCAAAAACCCTGCATGTCAACTGCATGTGCAATATAAAGTAGGCTACTGAACATCTGCATTTCTTTCTTTCTGTTTTATTGCTTTAAAAATAAATTGCATATTAAACCAATTAAGCAAAAACCTGTCAACAAAAGTCTGAAGAAAAAAACTTGACTTTCTGTCCCCCTCACTTTTGAAATGATGGCTACGCCCCTGGGTCTAACGGTTGCATGTTTTAGGTATTTAGGAACAACACCTGTGAGAAGGGACTTATTTATTATATCTAAAATATAGAGACTATCTGTATCTATGATAAATAATAATAATAAAAACTATATAAAATAGTCTTTCTAAAGACTATCTATAATACATATAAGTGTAGGCATAAAATTGTTATGATTATGAATAATGACTAATAAGAGAGATCTACATACCCACAGCCACAACCAGAAAAGTGAACACAACAGTCTTCATTGCAGTAAAGGAGAGAAGGACTGCTCACAGCTTTAGAGCACTTCTGCAAAGTTGAGGAATAGCACATTTAACACACCCACTGAACCCACAGAACAGCCAATTAGATCATGATTCGGAAGTAAAAATATGCATGTGGGACAACATTTATCTAAAGCTTATATAAAAACAGATTGTCTCTTTCTCTGGGATCAGAAGAAAGGTTTATGGATCCTAAAGGCGTCGTGAACACATATGTCCAACACATATGATCCTTCGTTGGACATATGGTCAAGCTATATTGAGCGTTACTATATCGAACTTTAATTGTTGTATTAAAATGTATTCTTTCCAGTATATTTCCTTCCTTGGGAGTAAATGCCAGTTATCTGTTTTTCTCCCAAACGAGTGATTGTTTTAGCATTATGTTTTGGTATACTTAACTGATAATAAGGAGCTCAGACTCTCTTCAGCCTTGATGGGAGCTGTTATTTGCTAGTGTCTTTTATTTGTGTGTGTGCGTATGACATTCTATGTAGGTTCTGGACGTTCGGACCAGACAACCCGGCGCCCTTCTCTAACCTGCGAGGCCACCACAGACCTAAAGCTAATGAGTGGACGACAACTATCTTGACTAATGGCGATAGGCACCCCTATCTCCTCACATGTGTTAAATTGTTTAGGCTTTCATGTTTCTTATAGCCAATGAGAATCATTCAACCTGTAAGCAATGACGTAGCTTAGACCTTGGAAATGGTATAACTGCTGTGATCTTTGTAACTGTAAGCGAGGCGGCCTACGAACTCCTGTGTGAGTCTTGAAGCTGACTTCTGCTGATGAAAATGCAAACTATCTTCAGTAAAACTTTTCTTTAATTTTTTTATAATTCTGACTCCGGGTCTTCATTCTTCATATCTGGTTCTGGGTTTTTGACTGTATACCCCTTACAGTTGCAATTAGTGGTGTCAAACTCTGATGACATCATTAAATCTTACTCCCTTTTACTCCCAGCCATACTCAAATATCCCAACAAGCACTTCCACACTTATTGAAGACATTTGGCAATTTGAAATGCATGAAATAGAAGTTAATGCAAAGGTATAGTGATAGCAGAGAGAGAAATAGCCAAAAGTCTCTCGACAACAGCACCAACCTTAAAATAAATAACTGTGTCCAAAGATGATTTAAATACAGATGTGATCATAACCCAGCGAATTAGACAGTTGTAGACCACTGTTATAAGAATGACTAAATTTACAAGTACTACTTTTTGAAATACTTTCAAGTACTTCACACAATTTTTTCCAGCACTTCAAAGATCAAAAGTCTGTATTAAAGGGGTAGGAGTACATACGTTTTACGTCTTGTAAACTATGTAAATTTAGTTTTTTTTTTAAGTACTGGAAAGTATGGAGTTTTATTTTGTTGTTCATCTGTTTTTTTTTACCATTTTTTTCTTTCTCTGATTTTTTAAAATTGTATTTACATGTTCAAAATAAATATATCAATCAACCAATCCAATTTACACATTATTTGTAATTCATCTTTTGCCTATTTAATTCTTCTTTAATAAATGGTATTCCTTTTGATCATTATCCAATGTGTTGTCTGCTTTGTTGCGGCTTACGAGCCGGCCGTGATAGTGTGTGTGTGTGTACATATACTTCTTTCTTCACTTCTCTAAACTCCACACCACCCAAAACAAAACAGTCTGAAGAGATTGGACTAAAGTTTTCTCAGAAGCTAAGAGTGGTTTTGTGGTTTTGTTGCAATGGATGTGTAAAATGAACCCACACGGTTTCAGTGACAATTGAGATTGTGACTACTAACATTGTAGCTGCAAGGTGTACTTCATTCTGTAAAAATTATGTTTTTTTTCTAGTGCTTTCAATACAATTCAAGCACATCTTTTAGCTAATCCATTACTGAATTTGAAATTGCACAACTCAGCTATTGCATGGATCCCAGATTCTATCATCTAAATCTCACTGTCAGACTTAATAATAAATTGTCTGGCATCATCTTAACCAAAACAGGAGCCCATATTTTCCCCTTTTTTATTGACCCTTTATACTGCTGAATCTGATTATCTTGTCAACTACAAAAGTTTTCAGATAACTGCACTTTTGGGTCTACTTAAAGGTGGGGTATGTGATTTTCTTTTTTGACCATTTTTTTCAAAATCACTTGAAGTCCTATTCCTAACCCACTTACAGCCACTGAGATAGAAGCACTGAAATGAAAATTAAGCAATTTAATCATCTGTGGAACAGGCAGGACTCGAAAAACTCCAGCCAATCATTTCCAAGACCACCTAGAATCATTGGACAGAAAATGCGTCAATCAAACAGTCGTACCATACCACCCTCCCCCCAACCCACTCGCGCGCGTGTCCCCTTCGTGCACATACTTAAGCTCGTGACCCAGTCACAGTAAGTGCAAGTCGCTCCGGTACAGAGAGAGAGAGAGTAAAGTGCAATCTCGCGCATCTGAGTTTTGCAGATGCATGATTGCGCGTCCATGTTCTTCGAATGGGTGGAGTCGGGGCCAGTGTTGGAGGAAAGAAGGTAGGACCTTTTGTGTTGTGTATTTTCAAAATCTGCCGGCCGTTTTGCAAATCAAATACCCTACCTTTAAGGCAATGACAATTAAAAAAAAAAAAATTTCAACTCTCGTGATTAATTTTTTTAATTGAATGTTGTCAAGACAAAAGAGTTAAATGTGTTCATAAATTAAACATTGTGTACTTTAAGGCAATACGCCAGTTTATTGTTTAGGTCCTTATATATACAGTATATCAAAACAGAGCAACTCTGTAATATAATATAGCAAGATGCAGGATGTGATCAGACTGTATCAGTAAGAACAGTCCATCGACAATTACACTGAATATAAAACTGGTGTGGGATTTACTTAGAAACAATTTTTCAAAAGTTTGATTTATGTTGGTTTAATCAGTGGACTGACTGATTTGGTTTATTTTCCTGTGGACCCCTTGTGGAGTAGAGGTGTATTTAAGACACATTGATATTAGAGAGGACTTAGTAAGCATTAATATCTGATGACTAACATTAATCACTGTTTTAAGCTAGCTATAATGACCTTGTCATTTTCATATCACTTACTTGGTGTCTTCAAATCTCAGTGAGAATATTGGTTCGTTCAATTTGGGTCTATTGTTTTCTTACAGAATAGTTAGTTTATATTGTTTTTACTATAAACTGAAGTGTTACTTAATTATTCAGATTGTTATTTTGTGATGTTGAGTCAGCCCATCAGTATGTGCTATTAATTAGAGAATTTATCGTGTATTAATTGAACAGATAAGTAAACAATAAACATACATAATAAAAAGTCTTCACTGTCTTAAATTGTGTCACACAAAAAGTAAAACAGCATCTGTTTTTATATAAGCTTTAGATAAATGTTGTCCCACATGCATATTTTTACTGGTTTCTCCAAAGGTTTTTTTTCCCTTTATTTCTTAGTTGGGGACACTTAATATTTAGCAATATTATTGACTTGAACGCACTGACATTATTGGATGAGACCTGCGACCTCGTGTAAACTGACCACAATCTGCTCATTTATTTACACTTTTTGTGGTGCTCAAACCATTGTCTCGTTGGTGCCTCTTTCTGCAGTCATATGCCCTTCACATCCGACAAATCAAAGGTACTGACAATGTGGTGGCTGACGCATTGTTTAGAGCTCTTTACTCCTCTTAACTGTTGACTAGTTTTTTTTCTTTTTTGCTCACTTTGGTTCTCTTAAATTGATTCTTAAAGGCCCGTAGTTGCTGAGGAAATTAGGAGTATAACAGAGTTGTGGGTGTTTTCCAGTATGGGGGTTATCAGGTGAAGGGTTATGTTGGGTTTGATAAATGGACACCCTTTTCTGTGGGGGAGGGTGTTATGAACCCAGTATCGGTCATATTTGGCACTTCACCACACCTGGCAGTATGCATCCCGTGGTGAACAGAGGTGATCGGTTTTGCTCCGATTTTTCTCAAACGAGCCTACAATCACAAAAAACATGGAGAGCATCAGTTTGATTCACTTCTCGCGAGAGAGACGCGAAATTCACTTCTCTTCTGAAGATTAAGAAATCATTTAGAAAATTATCACGAAATTAAAATCGTTTACAAGGCAGGAATAAACACTGCTGCAGAGAAAATTTGAGAAGGCAGCTGCAAGAAAATATCTGACTATATCAATGCATGCTCATAGAAATAATAATAATAATATAGGTTCACAAAGAGCTCAAATGAATACACGTTGTTTAAAAGCATTACATATTAATGCATGTATTAAATTTATATTAATTTGAAAGCAAAGTTTAATATTACTTGTCAATTATAGGCTATAAGAATATATTATAGATTAAAAGTAATTAATTCATATAATATAAATATAATAATAATTAGCGGCAAAAGATGATAAATTTTGTCTCTTAAGTTTTTTCACTTTAAACTGCTTTAATTTGGAGAGAGATACAGGGGGAGCGGCTTTATTGCATTAGAAACGTCACTTTGCTCCCAGCTGACCATGGCGGTGAACACCACTAAAAACCAATCCAAATTCTTGAGCCCGAAAAACGACTCGGTTACTAACGTAACCTCGGTTCCCTGAGAGGAGGGAACGAGTATTGCGTAAGTAGCTTACGCTATGGGAAAACTCCTTTTCTCGAGAAATATTGAAGTCTTTATGTAAAACGCATTGCAGCTGCACAGCATACAGCAATGAGCGAGGCAGCTCTGTCATTGGCTGTGCTGCGGCAACTGCACGAACCTATGACGGGGCGACTCTGAACCCGCTTCCAATGAGCGTGCTTCGAGCCCGCCAAGATGGGCGTGGCCAAGGGCTATATATTGGGCGCCCCGTCGTCTGAGTTCTTTAGGTTCAATCGACTGAAGCGAACTGACCAAGCACAAGCACGGCAGCTTACGCAATACTCGTTCCCTCGAGAGGTTCCTCCTATTGCGTAAGTAGCTTACGCTATCGGAACACCATGTAAAACGCCGTGCGTGCTGACTTCGCTCTATTAAGCCGGAGGCAGA